AAAAAAGCCTTTTGGTGAATTACAGTAATTGTTTTCTAAGAATAATTATGTACTGTATGTACCGTAAGGGTGATATTGGGCAAATTTCAGCTGTAGTAAGTCAGTCTTGTTACTAAAAATGCCTTTGGAACATGAAAAAACCCTTTTGGTCAATTAAAGTAATGTTTTTTTTTATTAATTATGTACTGTATGTACAGTAAGGGAGATATTGGGAAAAAAATTCACCAGTAGTAAGTCAGTCTTGTAACTACAAATGAACTAGAACCTTTGGGACATTAAAAAAAAAAACCCTTTGGTGAATTATAGTAATTTTAAAGAAAATAGTTGTGTACTGTACATACAGTAATGGAGATATTGTGTATGGCGACATATTGGTTAAATATTTCCTGTCAGTTTGCCTACAAGGCATTTACTATGGCGTTGTAAACATCCTCACGCTCATCTGCACGCTATGAATCATACTATCAGCAACGCACTATTAGGATGCTTACATTAACCATATAATGCGGTTTTCAATTAATTTAGCAAACTGACATGTGTAAAATTTAAGAGGATGATTTTCTAAATACGATCAGTCTATTTTGCTGATTTACAGACATGAAATCCTCTTACTGTAACCGTGTTGTGTTCATTTTCTCGAGACTGCTTGTTCTTCTTATCGAATAGTATACGTTAGGTAATATATGGTTCTTATTACATCTTTAAATGCCTAGCACCATAATAAATAAAATGCGGAAGGTCTGAAACGACATGATCAGCGGTGGGATTAACTTTAATCTTCATCCTTTTACGTCAAGATCTTTGACCACTGAATACACTGTTGTTTAAATTATGCATATCTTGATGATAATGAAACTAATGATTTTAAAATACAATGGTGTAATATTACAGGATAACATATATAAAATAAATTAATTATCATGCTTGTGCACAATTCAAACTATTAAAGAGGTTTTTCTTTAATAGTGTGAATGTAAATATCAAAAGTCTTCTGTATGTTTTCATTAAGGGAACTAATAACCCCATACCAACTAAATAACAGGCCTCTATGGACTTTGAATGTGTTTACATAATCTTTTGAATAAATGTACCTATATGATAAAATCATGTACTTTAATATCCCTTCTCAGTGCATTGACAAGTTTCAAAGGATTGGTTGACCTCTTTGATATTTCTTTTAATTTAAAAGTAGGACTTTATATGAGTAATTCTCAACAGGGGCCCGGGCCATTAGTGGCCTTTAGCAAACTTCCAGGGGGGCTGCATATGATGACTTGTTCAGTAATAATACGTACAACTAATAATAATAATAATAATAATAAGTAATCAATTATCTAACCTCAGTAAAAGGCTAAAACCACTAAAATCAAGATGTAGGGCATCTAAATTGAAATTATATTTCTTATTTTTAATTTGGCCCTTCAACTGCTGTTTTATTAAAGAACATACAGTTCCTAGAACATCTGGAATCACCAAAACAAATGAATGAGTAAGTTATGGGTAATTCTTTTAATCTAGCGACACTTCTGGTTTCTGTGAAAAGTTTGAAATCAGAAAATTGTCAGCAAAAGTACCAATATAAATATTCTAACTTACATGTGGAAAAAAATGCAAATATTATCTCGAAAGATCGGAGGCCTTTGAGTCAAAAGCTCAGCAGATTTTGCTAAAAAACAATGCAAGAACCCACTTTGATCATTGCCTTTTTGGCAATGGTGACTAATGCATTGAATTTAAGCATTAACAACCCTGTTGTTTTCTTTGTGTGCCTAGTTCCTGGTATGCAAGAGAAAGCTGGAGAGTAAGAAGGAGGCACTGCTGATCTTATCAAAAGAACTGGACACCTGCCAGCAGGAAAGGGATCAGTTTAAACTGATGGTAAACCAGCTCCGTGAACGCCACCAGGGGCTCAAGAAAAAGTACAGAGAGCTTATAGTATGTATTTCTATTCTGTTCTATTCTAAATTAATTAAACACTCATGTAAGAAGTATGAGGTATTGTCATTATAATGAAGTGTATTTTAATCAAATTAAATGGATTTTATTTTTCATTAATAGGATGGGGACCCTTCTCTGCCTCCTGAAAAAAGAAACCAAGTATATCTGTGCTTTTAAATATGCGTGACTATACATCATATGTTAGGTGCTCTCATATATGTATAAAACTACAGATCTGAGATCCAAATATGTGTGTTAACAAATGTGTTGTTTAAGTAGTCAACCCAGTACTCCCGATTATTGTCAGTGTTAATCAACCAATAAAATGTTGTATGTATTATACATTAAAAAGTTTAATATGTTGTAGAACCGATGTGTTTAACTTGCCACAGGTCAATCTGGCCCAGTTACTGAGAGACTCACGAGAACAGAACAAACAGCTGGGTGAGGAGATAAAAGAACTGAAGCAATGTTTAGCGGAGGTGCAGGGTGATAACAAGGTATGGGTTCCACTTTGCACAAAGGTCATTACTTTGCATGACTCAATCCCATGCAGATGTTTGCAGGTGAAATGTGTAATCAAGCATTGTGAGCACAGTTCATATATTGTGGTATATCTGCAATCTTTCCATCCCACAGCTGCTGAGGATGACCATCGCAAAGCAGCATCTAGGGGATGAAGAGGTGGGAACTCGTCACTTTCCAGCTCATGAGAGAGAAGATCTTGTTCAGCAGTTAGAAAGAGCTCGAGAACAGGTGCATTGCTCTTGGCATTCCACACATTTTAATTATCAAGAATATTGCAATGTCTCACAGTTTTTGTAGACACTGGTGTCATAGATTTGAAAACACACACACACATGTTTACTTAGCTATCTAAATGGGGACATTCCATAGGCGTAATGGTTTTTATACTGTAAAAACTGTATATTCTATCGCCTTACACCAGCCCTACCCCTAAACCTACCCCTTAAGAGTAAACTTTCTGCATTTTTACAATTTAAAAAAAACGTTTACTTTATTTTTATACCAGTTTTACAAATGAGGATGTCCCTGAAGGGAGGTTTTTGGAGATTTTGTCAGGTTTAGCTCACTTTTGGGTACAAATTTGTCCTCAAAATATGGTTAAGTAGGTACACACACACACACACTGATAAAATAGTTTCGTTTTTAGTTTTTTCGTTTATTTCATTTATTTAACAGGGACTATGCACAACACAAGTGTTGTGCCAGAGTTAGCTACAGAGCTAATTTGCATCGGCAGTCCCTGGGCAGGATGTTGTTACAAAATTACAATACTCCATTACAAAAAATACAATACATACAATACATAAAATATACAATAATGGTAAAAAAGCAATATCTGTTCTTTGTCCTAACTTTATGGTGTTGCAGAATGAAGCACTGGAACAAAGCTTAAAGGCAGCCACGGATGAATTACAGGATGTGAGAGCAGAGCGTAATGTCTATCAGGAGAAAGCTCACAGACTAAACCTGGAAATTAACCACATCTTGGGAAGCCACGAGAACCGCATCCTGGATATAGATGCTCTGTGTATGGAGAACAGGTCAGTTTTGCCATGTTCAGGATCTAGTCACCTACACATTTAGCATCTACTGCTGCAGTAGTAGGAGGTAAAACACACACACACACACACACACACACACACACACACACAATAATTGCCATACATATGCAGATATTTATTATTTTAGTACACAAAAATCACACTCTGATTCCAAAATAACTGCTATTTTAGCTATAGTAGTTTAGTACTGTATATCAATTAGCTATCATTGATATATAGTACTTTTATAGTTTTGTTAATATTTAAAAAAAAATAATAATTTTCTGTTTTGATTTTAAATGTAAAGTTTTAGTAATTAATTTTTTAAAATTAATTTTTCTTATTTTTTTTTAAATATGTATATATTATTTATTTTGGTTTTAGTTATTTTTGTACTTAGTTAAACTAAAATAAAATGATAAATGATGCCTTGGCAACTAGCTGACATCAAATAATTTTAGAATTTCCATGATTATTTTTTTTTATTTTATTTTATTATTTTTTTTACATTTACAATAATGACCCTGCAAAATAATCCGTGATCCAGTCCAAGTTGGTATTTTCAATGTAACAGAAATGTGACTCTAGGAACTTGATCAGGTTTCTGGTGAGACTGACCTCTGCTGGTCTGGTGGGGACATTACAGGCATTGATATGACCGTCTTAACATATCCAGTTGGTGCCTAAATATTATCAATAGTGCTATATGACTAGTCATTTTGTGGGTTATCTGTATATCATGCTGAAGTCTTTAAAATGTCTTTTTTTAAGATATCTGCATGAGCGGCTTATGCAGCTTCAGGAGGAGGTCAGCCTCCTCAAATCAAACGTTATGAAGTACGAGGTATTTATAACACATATAACCACATTTATATGCACACAGGAGATTTATTCACTTTAGTTATGTATAAATTAATTCTGTATTCTTATGTTGAGCATATGTTTTATTTCAGAGTGCTTTGGAAAGCAAGAAGAACTGCAAAGTCTATGGCAAGTCCAACAGCAGTGCTCTGACAGGTGTCCTCTCTGCTAAACAAGGTACCACACAAGACTTCTGCAGAATCCAGAAAGTAACAATTGCATTCTTTACCAGTATTCTTTTTAATTCATGTACAATTCTTTGAAAGAAAAATATTTAGAAGCTAAGCTTAGCTACAGCTTATACGTTTCCAGTACAAGAGCTGTTGCTGTCTGAAGAGAATGGCTGCAGTCTCCCGGTCACTTCACAGTCCATTAGTGACCTGAAGTCCCTGGCCACTGCTCTGCTGGAGACCATTCATGAGAAGAACATGGTCATTCAGCATCAACGGCAAACCAACAAGTATGTTATGATACATTGTGACAACGGTCATCTCATTTCTGTGCTGGAAAGCACCCAAGATGCAGAGTTACTTTTGAATGGTTTATTTATTTACTATTATAGTTTTGATTAATTTTATTTCATTTTTATATTTTCAGTTTTCATATTTAAATTTTGTTACATTTTTTAGAAATTTTGTTTTATTGTTGCATTTTATTTTTCTTAGTGTTTTATTTTATTTTATTTGATTTTTTTAAATATTACTATTTAGGTTTACATTTTTTTTCCCCAGTTTGAGTTTTAGTGTTTATTTCCAGTTAGTAATTTAGTGCTTTTAATTTAGTTGCCAAGGCAACATTTAACATTCTTTAGTTTCTTAAGTTATTTTTGTATTTTATTTTATTATGGCTTTATTTAAATGAGCAAAAGTGCTTTTAATAGTTTTTGTTAAAGGGGTCATATGATGCAATTTCAATTTTTCCTTTCTCTTTGGAGTGTTACAAGCTCTTGGTGCATAAAGAAAATCTGTAAAGTTGCAAAGACTAAAGTCTCAAATCCAAAGAGATATTCTTTATAAAAGTTCAGAGTCAGCCACACCTACCTAAAACGGCTCGTTCTAACACGCCCCCACATCTCTATGTCACAAAGCATAACGCTGCCCAAATGTTCATGCAAAGAAAGAAGGCGTAACTTTTATTCTCGCTGTAGTATTGTTGCTGCCGCGGCCGCCATGTCGTGAAGGCACTGTGTGTTTCGTTGTGAAAGCGAAGCTACTTTGTTTGGCCTTCCAAAAGAGGACGATATCTGCTTCGTCATGCCTGGAGCTGATCCGTGCTGGTCGCTGAGGAAATACAACAACTTTGCGCTGTGGATCACCGGATCGGCTTTCACCGTGGACGAAGCGGAGTCCAGCCCGGTGTCGTCACATGTGGTTGCCGCAAGCTCGCCGGACGCTCCTTCGTCAAATCCGCCAGCCATGCCGTTCTCAAAGCCCACCCACCTCCACTCACTCAAGCCTGCCTCCGCTCACTCAAGGCCGCGGTGTGTGACGCTGTTTCGTTGTGAAAGCGAAACTACTTTGTTTGGCCTTCCAAAATTGAACCTTAAACCGCATAAACATTTCTTTACACCAAATACACAAAATAATGTTCTTTTTAGCAGCATCATATGACCCCTTTAATAATAATAATCTTGCTAAGATGCTGTTTATTAGTATTGTGGGATATCAGTTAAGCCAGAGCATACTTAGATTTACAGTTTAACCTATATACCTATAAACCTATATATTTATAGGTTTGCATATATTTGAACAGGATCCTGGGTAACCGGGTTGCAGAACTGGAAAGAAAGTTGAAAACATTAGAGGTGTCTGGGTTGTGGAGTCTGCCAAGTAAACATCATGTCCAAGACTATGCAGTTGCTTTTTTTGAATTTTGGTTATTTGATTGTAGTTTTTTTTTTTTAATGTTTTGCTCTAATACACTTTACATTTGTGTAATGGGTACTTCTTTGTAACATAATAGAGTTTATCTTGATTATTTACATTTTTTAATTAATTACTTTCAATTGCTCTCCCATTTCTGCTTTCCACTCTTTCTTCTCACCCTCTCTGGAGGCATCACCTACAATGTGTCTCTCGGACTACGGAGTACGTCTTTTATTCAATATAGTTTTTTGCCTTTTATACCTTTCTGCAATTTTTTTTTTCAAACCTATTCTACCTCTGTTACCCTTTTTGTTAACTTGACAATATAACTATCATTTGTAATAGTTGGGCATTTATTGACTCCAACTTTTTTTCCCAGGAAGGAAAGCCGTTATTGTCCTAAGTGACTCTCAGCATGTCCAGTCCAGCGCAGAACAGTCAGTCCATCTGACACCAGAGTCAGTGGGTGAGTTACTACCAAGTGAAACCTCATTGGCACTTTACAGCTGTACGGTACACTTTTGTGTCTCGTGGCTTCTTTAAACATTACAGGCACAAATCCGTAATTAGTTATTATTAATTTTGTCTATTAAATTACCGTAATTAGGTTAATTAAACGAATCATTCAGTAGGGGGTAATAATTATAACTAATAATAGACTAAATACTTATTAATTCTTATTAAATTAATATTCTAATTAATGTTTATGTTTATAGTAATCAAAGGCCAGCAAAAAAAGCTAAGACGTTTGTGCCAAATGCAAATGGAAAGTACTTTGGTGCGTAAGCTCAAAAAATTTAATTGAAAGACGACAAGTCCAACAAGAGGAGAAGCTCGCACACATAATCATAGAAACATTTCATTACGAAATTCTTACATTCAGAGGCCAAAAAGTTAAAGAAAAGTGCAACATTGTTGAAAGTTTTTAAATGTCACAACATAAATATTCAACACCATAATTTTTATTAGCTTTTTTCTCCGAATTAGTAGTGGCAGTATTATGGAAATTTTATTTGTATACAGCTACACAAAACTACACAACTTTGTCTGTTGGATATATAAAAAATGAATGAACAAACCAAAAAAATCTGGGTATCCATGTCCTCCATGCGAGTCAACAGCCGGCACTTTCCCTAATTGCAGATTCAGTTATTAAATCTAATATTAACATTCTTCTACTTATCTTTTTTTTTTCCACACTTGCCATGTTTTTGCTGTCAGACTAACATAGAGCATTCAGTTTCTCTACCTTAAAATTTAATGTGTAATTCATTGTTACTTGCTGTTTCTGATGGAAAATTGTTTCTACACCATTTTTTTTTCAGTGAATATACCCAAAAACATTTGTGTGCTATTGGAGGAATATCAAATACATAAGTCAAAATTGTTTTCGTTACATTTCCACATTTTAGAAAATTGAATAATCACAAAAAAAAAATCATCATTTTGAACTGCATATTTTGGGAACATGATCTAAAAATGGCAAACCTCATAGGAGTAAAACCGCTCATACTATATTTTGGTTAACTCCTGGAAACATTTTCTGACGGTAAATCTTCTCCTTTCTGAAAACAAGGGGGTGGGACTTAATATTTTATATATACAGTATATATATATATATATATTTTTTTTATTTAATTATTTTTTCAATAAAAAATAATAAGAAGTGTTATCCCTCTCCAGCAGGAGATGAAGAGATTGTTACTGGAGAAGAGGTGACAGAGGACACTGGACTCAGTATAGATTTCAGCCAAGATGACTGTCAAGCCGTGGCAGTCGAGTTGAGCCAAAGGGGTGATTATTTCAGTCGCACATATTCAGTCTCACAAACTCCACAGTTCACTAATCCAGCAGAAAGTATCCAGCCTGTAGAGACCACACAGTGTGAAACCCTTGCTTGTTGTGACTCTGAGACGCCTGTGTGTCCTCCTGAGAGGGGATCAGAACAACATAATGAAGATCTCACAAGCCGTGGATGTCAGTCTTTGAACACAAAAGTATCTTTGAAAGGTTCAGAAGAAGAGGCTGCGGAGAATGATGTTCCTGTTGTTCATTCTGAGGAGGACTTTGATGAAGGTAAATCTTCTCCTTTCTGAAAACAAGGGGGTGGGACTTCATATTTTATATATACAGTATATATATATATATAGATATATTTTTTTTTATTTAATTATTTTTTCAATAAAAAATAATAAGAAGTGTTATCCCTCTCCAGCAGGAGATGAAGAGATTGTTACTGGAGAAGAGGTGACAGAGGACACTGGACTCAGTATAGATTTCAGCCAAGATGACTGTCAAGCCGTGGCAGTCGAGTTGAGCCAAAGGGGTGATTATTTCAGTCGCACATATTCAGTCTCACAAACTCCACAGTTCACTAATCCAGCAGAAAGTATCCAGCCTGTAGAGACCACACAGTGTGAAACCCTTGCTTGTTGTGACTCTGAGACGCCTGTGTGTCCTCCTGAGAGGGGATCAGAACAACATAATGAAGATCTCACAAGCCGTGGATGTCAGTCTTTGAACACAAAAGTATCTTTGAAAGGTTCAGAAGAAGAGGCTGCGGAGAATGATGTTCCTGTTGTTCATTCTGAGGAGGACTTTGATAGTCACGGTGAATTAGAGGACAGTCGGCCTGTGGCAGCAGAGACCTTTGGCAGTTTTGACTGTGTTTCTGAATCTGAGTCTTGTACATCGGAACAGCAAACAGAGCGATCGGTCGAAGAAGAAACCGAGCATGCTTCACTAAACACAAGTTCTCCTGCTCAAACATCATCACACCAGGAATGAACGTCATTTTTCACAAAATTAAGAACTGTGAGAGAAATGCATAAAAACAACCTCCATTCATTCAAAGCCTCATCACTTAAAAGAAGCGTTCTGATTCAGAACTGTATGAAAAAGACGTTGGCAAAAGAATAAAAACAAGAACCTTTGAATGCCTAAATGTGAATCTCGAGTGAAACCTTAGATGTAACGCCACTATGATGACACTATACCAGCATGTTTATTTTATCATTTCAAAGACACTCTTTATGTATTTTGACTATTTATAAACATCTTTGTAATTGTTTCTGATGTATTGTGTGGCTAAAACATGACAGTTTCTTTTTCACTTCTAATTTTCAGTTTACCCTTCTTGTTATTTTTCATTGAGTAGAATACAACATGCAATTTCTGTTCCACTTGCAAGAGGTAAAGGTTCTTTTTTTTTCTTTCTCAATTCTTATAACACTGGATGTCAACCAGTTTCAACCAATTATAATTTGTTCCTTACAGAGTCAGGGTATATTTATTTCCTGTCATTTGTCTTATTATAATTTGTGATCTTGATTATCCTAATCGTGTTTGATCTGGTAGTGTAAAATCATTCTCTGTAGATCACCTAATATTACAGTGTAATATAGTGTAAAATTAAAATGGGATCAATCATCAGCTTGAAAGCTTATATTTAATTATGCACAAAAGCACAGCACTGCAATACACCAGCCATTTAGTTTGACATTTTGCTGCTGTATTATTGAGTTATTACTGCATCAGTTTACTTGGTTTTCGTTGATTTGACCTGTTGGGTGCTCAAAAAAAAAAATTTGTAATGCGGAAGGATTATCTTGTTGTATCTGGCTACTCCATGTCCTCGAGTCACTGAAATAAATGTTACATTCGCCATTACAAACATCCAGTCCATCAGTCTTGTGAAGCAAAAACACTGCAATAAATCTATCATCAAAGAGCTTTTTAACTTCAAACCATTGCTTCCAGTTAAAATATGAGTCATCTATTCATAATTTTGCTTGCTTTTTTCACTGGAGGAAACTTTATGGATCATGGTATTTTGGCTAGAAGTAATTGTCTGAGGGTGAGTACATTTTTAGCAAGTTTTAATTTTTGAGGTAACTATTCCTTTAAAAGAAGATCAGATAAGCAGCAATACTCTTGACATTTTTTTTTAAATGTATCTAAGCAGTGATAGTTTCTCAAAACATATTTATCAATACAACTTTTCTATGCAACCATAATCCATAAAACATTGGAATAAAATACTGAAAATACTTCATCTATTGCATCAGGCTTGATCCAAGTTTAAGCAATTTACAGTATACCATTTGGATTGTGGTTGGTTAAAGGGTTGGTAAACCCAAAAATGAAAATTAGCCCATAAATTACTCACCCTCAAGTCATCCTAGGTGTATATGACTTTCTTCTTTCAGACAAATCCAGTCGGAGTTATATTAAAAATGGTCTTTGATCTTTCAAGCTGTTTCATGGCACTCAGCGGGTGTTGCATGCATCAGTCCAAAAGAAGTTAAATAAAAAGCGCCCATCCATAAAAAAAAAAGTGCCTCACACGGCTCCAGGGGGTGAACAAAGGCGTGCTGTAGCGAATCGATGCGTTTTTGTAAGAAAAATATAAATTTTCAAAACGTAATAATCACTTTAATGTAGCTTGCGCCAACAGTTGTACACGGAAGTAGCTCCGGGAGGATGACGTATGAGGTCAGCGTTGCGCATGCGCCCAACGTTTGTTAACAGGAGCAAAGGAAGCAAAGTTTCCTTACATTAGCAAAGGAAAACCAGTCTCCTCTTGGCTTATATTGAAATCCTCCGACAATCTTCTTTTCAAATCCTCGTTTTGTATGTCTAATAAGTGACCGTTGTTTTGTTTTGATCTCTCCCCTGCGCTTCTGCGTTTGTCACTTCTGAGCGGAGCATGCGCAACGCTGAACTCATACGTCATCTGCCCAGAACTGCTTCCGTGTACAACAGTGAGCGCAAGCTACATTAAAGTGATTATTACGGTTTGAAAATAGATATTTTTCTTACAAAAACGCATCGATTCGCTACAATTTATGGGCTAATTTTCCTTTTTGGGTGAACTAACCCTTTAACTATTCGGTTCTTAATGTTTTTTATTGCCTGCACAACAAATTGACATTCAGAGTGCTTATTTAACCACGAAAATGAAACTGGTAAGCTAATAATAAATCTACAGATATTTTTGTAGGGGACCAACTACTAGAAACAGCAGGGACTTGATTTCCAACAACATTTAATGCAAACAAACCTTTTTGACTGGAGCAAAACAAATAATTGTGAAAAACAAACCTTTCAGTGCAGAGTGCAATGACACAGTGATAGATACGGGAAGATTATGTACTGCGCTTACAAAAACAATTGAAAAATTGCTCCATTTAAAATGTAATGAACAACAATACCAAATTAGATTAGATGATTTAAAATAAATGCAGCACAGAACATCACTAGATTGACATCTTTGGACAGAAATGTGAGGATGTTTTTTGCTCTTCTGTATAAACAAGACCAAGTCTAGAATTACAAACAAAAAATTTTATTACCATTTCAGACAACTTAGAAAAACATACAGACAACACAAAAACAAGCTTGTCTTGCCTACGGTATATTTACATCGTGCTCTTTTTTTCCTGCAAATATTTACATTCAGTATATATACACATGAAGTGGAAATGGAAAAAACACTTGCTACAGTAAGATTTAATAGTAATAATCCCACTGTTAATAGTACGACAATATATATGTGTGTGAACATATATATATTGCAAAGTTTGAAAGGACAAAGGATAACAAAACAGCAAAGTATAGAGTATAAACTGAGGTGTTATGTGTGGTTATCATGCGTTTCCAATACACAGTTTAAGTTCTGATATGGATTTGATGGATGGATACAAAGCAAATAAGTGAATCAAAATCATCCGCTCACTCATTCATGTCCATTTCTAGAGCTACAGGACAAACAAATGCTTATTTTCCAATCCCGAACAAGCTACCAAACAGCTAACTTCAGTGGTTTGAAATGAATGAAAAGAACCCAAAAAGAAATCCTCACTCATGCTCTGGAACACAAAAGGAGGAATTCCGAAGAATGTTCTGGTAATTTTTGTTCATGCAATTACAATTAATAATGCATAAACATCAAAAAATGTCATAAATGTCATCCATATGAATCTGTGCACTGGACTCTGTATTCTGATACCATATGTTATTTTTATTTGTAATTGCATTAATTAATTGGAATTGCAATGGGGAAAAAAGATGCATTTTGAAAAACCAGTCAAATTTCATGAAAAATTATGAAATCTGCATGTAGCAGAAAAATGTTCACAAATGTGAATGAAATTGAGGTTTGACTCCCATCAAGGCACAAGTTGCTCAGTCTGCCTGATTCTCTTTCACTGGTGAGATATAGGCATGGCCAAAGGGAGAGCAAAGCCATTCAGACTTTCAGCTGGTCAAAAATGTTCATCTACTTTCAAGCCAGCAACAGAAAAACTTACTGGTAATCTACAGACAGAAAAATTAGTGTCCTTCGTCATAGCTGGAAAAATATTTTGGAAAAGTACACAAGTGTGCATTTCAGTCTGCTTCCCAGAGTGTTACCATTTTCCGTTTTACACACTGGACACAAATCACACACAACATCACATTAATTAAAGCATTTGTACTGTGTTTACTGTGACTGTACCATGTAAATATTTTCCCTCAGCACCTCCTCACATTCCCTCCCTTACACATCTGCTGTTATTGGATGACCCTTCCCAGCAGCGTGCCGATTCACAGCCTCAGCAGACGGACAGGACGGGTGGACCCTGTCTCTGCTGGGTTTTCTTGAGCAGCTGTATACGGTTGTGGCAGTAGAATTTCACAGCCCTCCAGTCCCGGTGGTTAGTGACCAGCAGGGGGCAGAGCTCCAGGCAGCGTTCACAGTCCGCTTTAGCCGGCACACGCAGCTCCATGATGTTTTGCACCAGGTGGGACTCGACAGCTGCCCGCTCTGCCTCAGACCAAGGCCGCTTCAGCACACCACGTTTACCTGAGACAGAGAGGAGAATGTATGTTAATCATTATTCCTGTGTAAACACTACACCCCCACTCTCCCCCAGGCCATACACATACGCTCAGGTCAATGAGTTAGCCCTGTGCTGAAGGTCTCAGGCCTGTATCTTTGCAGGCTGGTAATTAACACCAAAATCACAATGTTCTTGTATACATTTTACTAAAAATGATCCCATAAATCATATGATGTTTATATCACAAAAGCATAAACATAACCAGGTATGCCAATATTCCGGACGGTTACAAGAAATTTGGAGAATATTGGCATACCTGGATAATACATTACTGCTGCCGTATTTCTACATTAACTGGAATTCTTGGTCAAATAAACGGTTTATTCTGAATATGCATGTCCAAATCAGGCAGTGATATTGTAACAAAATTTAAAAAAAAAACAGAAAAAAAAAACCCAATATAAGAATGGGCAACATCAAATGGCTAGCATTTTGCTGTTGTCAGGGACATTAATTAAAACTATTGAGTTCTGAATCACTCAAATACAGCATACAGCATCACAAAGAATTAACATCTGTAATTCCAGTAGTTTTAGAGCATGTAAACATACAGTGCCCTCCACTAATATTGGCACGCTTGGTAAATATGAGCAAAGGCAGCTGTGAAAATAAATCTGCATCTTTCAGTAAAATATTTAGTAAAATATCTCTGAAGTATATTACCATTCATATTTAAAAAAATTTTTAGCACACCAGGGTGACTAGGAGCATGAAATTGACTTCCTGTTCCACAGGATTATAAATATGAGGAACACAAAGGTCAAATTCCCTTAATCATCCATCACAAGGAGTAAAACCAAAGAATATAGTTCTGATGTGCAGAACAAGATTGTTGAGCTTCACAAAATAGAAAGTGGCTGTAAAAAATAGCTAAAGCATCCAAAATCATGCCTCATCAGCCTCATGTTGTTCGGGAGGGTTTCAAGAAAAATCCTCCTCGCTCATCCAAAAAACAAACTCCAGCATCTTCAGTTGTCAGACACGACTGGAACTTCAGATGGGGCTGGCGTCTATGGTCAGATGAAACTAAAACAGGGCTGCAAACCCACCAGATGGGTTTGGTGCATACAGGGATAAAAAGTACACCATGCCCACGATTAAATAGACTGCTGGATCTTTAATGTTGTGGGCCTATTTGTTTTTGCCGGAGGTCCTGGACATCTTGTTCAGATACATGGCATCATGGATTCTATCAAATACCAACAGATAAAACATCTAAACCTGACTGCTTCTCTTAGAAATCTTATAATCAAACTCCAGCATATTCAGTTGTCAGACACGACTGGAACTTCAGATGGGGCTGGCGTCTATGGTCAGATGAAACTA